TTTTTTTTTTTTTTTTTTTTTTTTTTGCGGTACGCGGGTCTCTCACTGTTTTTCCACTCCCTTTGCAGGGCACAGGCTCCAGACAGTGCAGGCTCAGTGGCCATGGCTCACAGGCCCAGCCGCTCTGCGGCATGTGGGATCTTCCCAGACCGGGGCACGAACCCACGTTCCCTGCATCGGCAGGCGGACTCTCAAGCACTGCGCCACCAGGGAAGCCCCAGGGGAGATTTTTTTAAAGAGAGGGAGTATTGCAGTTGGGTAACTAAAAGGGAGAAAATGAAGGAAGATATGAGGTTTTCTGCAGAAAGGAAGAGATGAAATTAAAAGATTATTATTATTATTTTACTATTTGCTAGGTGCTTTACAAATATTCTTTAAATCCTCACAATTGCCTTATAAGGTAGGTGCTTTTATCATCCCTATTTTATAGATGAGGATACTGAAGCACAGTAGGCATGGATAGCTTACCTAAGGTCACACAGTTGGAAAGCAGCAGAACTGGGATTCAGAACCAGGCAATCTGGCTTCTGAGTCTTGCTCTTAACCACAGTGCTGTGCTACCTTTCAGGTTAAAATTCAGAAGTGGATATAACTGTTTGTTTTAGAAGTAGGGAATAAGCACTGCTATAAAAACCCATGGGAGGCAGTGTGGGTCAGATTTAAGGGTCTAAGGATAGGGCAGCTGGAGGGGAATAAGGCTGAAATTTCTTTGGTAGTACCTGTTGATGATGAGGTATAAGTCAGGAAAAGATTATCCTTTTGTAGAGACAAAACCAATGTGGCCCCCAAATGCTCTCTTTGATATATGAACTCTGACCCATCCTGGAGCAGAAAAAATGAGAGTTGTGATATAGGACAGGGGAGTGACATCCAAAACCACAACTTGCAAAACGCAGGATATGGGCAAAGGAGAAGGCTCAGAGGGAGGGAGGTCTGCAATAGGGCTGCGTGGAGGCCTTCCTCACTTGTCACCTAACTCATGCCAATTATGAGTGATAAATCAAGGGACAAGAGGGACTAATAAATCTGGAGTGTGAGTGAGGACAGGTTGAGTAGTTAGGGTTAAAATCATGATGTAGGTCACAAAGGGTTTTTAACCTGAGGTCCATGGATGACCAAGGTGTCTCTAGATAGAATTCATGGTGGTATGTGACTTCAGGAAAAATTATATCTTTATTTTCACTAACCTCCTAACTGAAATGTAGCATTTCCTTCAGTTATGAACATTGACAACAAACCACAGTAGTATCAGCAGAGCTTGACTTCTTCACCAATAGAATCACAAATATCTTCATATTACATTAAAATTGCCACAGATATCTTAAAATAGCATTTATATTCATCATTACTTAGAAAGTATGGTAGTTATTAGACCCACAATCATTAAATGTAATTTTTGGATATTTTCATATTTTGATAACTATATTTCAATATAACTGGTTTCCTTTATAATACTATGTATTTTATGCATTTAAAAATATTCTGGCCAAGACCACTCAATGGAGAAAGAATAGACTCCTCAACATATAGTGCTGGGAAAATGGGATAACTACATGGAAAAAAATGAAGTCAGACTCTTACACTATACCGTATACAAAATTAACTCAGAATGGATCAAGGATCTAAATTTAAGAGTTAAAACTATAAAACTCTTAGAAGAAAACGGGAAAATCTTCATTACCTTGGATTTCACAATAGTTTCTTAAATATGACACAAAAATCACAAGCAACAAAAGAAAAAAATAGATAAATAGCATTTCATTAAAATGAAAACTGTGTATACAGAACACCATCAACAGACAACCTACAGAATGGGAGAAAATATTTGCAAATCATATATCTGATAAGGGTTTAATATCCAGAATATATAAAGAACTCCTATAATTCAACAACAAAAAGATAAACAACCTAATTTTTAAAAGGGCAAAGGAAGTAAATAGACATTTCTTCAAAAAAGATACACAAGTGACCAATAAGCACATGAAAAGATGCTCATCATATTTAGTTATTAGGGAAGTGCAAAAAAAATAAAAAGCAACACACAATGTGATACCATTTTACACCTACTAGTATGGCTATAATTTAAAAAAATGGAAAATAACAAATGTTGGAGAGGATATGGAGAAATTGGAACACTTGCTGATGTGAATGCACAATGCTGCAGCTGCTGTGAAAAAAAAATTCCCACATGCCGTGGGGAGGCTGGGCCCGTGAGCCACGGCCGCTGAGCCAGCACGTCTGGAGCATGTGCTCCGCAATGGGAGAGGCCACAACAGGGACAGGACCGCGTACCGCAAAAAAAAAAAAAAAAAAAAAAAAAATAAAAAAAAACCCCAAAAAAAAAAAAAAAAAAAAAAAAAGTTAAACATATGATCCAACAAGTCCACTCTTAGGTGTATACCTAAAAGAATTGTAAGCAGGGACTTGAACAGATACTCCTATGCCAATATTCATGGTAGCATTATTCATGATAGACAAAAATTGGAAACAACCTAAGTGTCCATTAACAGATGAATGGATAAACAAAATGTGGTACATACATACAATGGAGTATCATCAGCCATAAAATGAAATAAAGCACTTATCCACGCTACACTAAGTGAAATAAACCAGATATGAAAGACAGATAAGTGCTAAGTGAAATAAACCAGACATGAAAAACAGATATTGTGCTAAGTGAAATAAACCAGACATGAAAGACAGATATTGTCTGATTCCATTTAAATGAAATATTTAGAATACACAATCCATAGAGACAGAAAGTAGAAGAGAGGTTACCAGGGGCTGGAGGAGGGGGAAATGGGGAGTTATTGCCTAATGGGTACAGAGTTTCTGTTTGGGGTGATGAAAAAGTTTTGGAAATAGATAGTGGTGATGGTTGCACAACAACGTGAATGTCATTAATGCTGCTAATTTGTACACTTTAAAATGGTTAAAACAACAAATTTTATATTATATATATTTTGCCACAATTTAAAAAAGCAAAAAAAAAAATTATTCTGAAAGGATGTTCATTAGCTCTGATAGACACAGAGGCCACCACAGTGAGAGGCCCGCGTACCACAAAAAAAAAAAAAAAAAAAAAAAGAAGAAGGTGCTACAAGACAAACCACAAAAAAAACTGTAGAGGAATTATGCAATAAGCTAAGGGTTCTGTTGACAGGAATTCAGAGGAGGAAAACAGAAGTAGGCACCAAAGGCATCAAGTAGAGTTTTAGGGCTACCAGCTTGGTGGCAGCTGAATGATCGCACACACGCACCGGCACTGGACATGGTGACTGACAGTGCTGATGTCGATATCCAAGTTCCCAGAGAAAGTGGTCTTCCTTCTGTGTTCCTGTTGAAAGGTCTCCTCATTGTACACATCTCGCTTCACATCATACATGAAAGAGTTTTGCCTGTATCTAGAGCCCAAACTCTGGAAGTTCCTCTCTGGTTGCATCATTCCTGGATAAGTGGAAAGAAGTTAAACAAAAGACAGTTTTTTAAAAATCTAGATCCTTCGCACATTTTTATGGAAATAAAAATTCCATTTATTGTATAATTTTATACTTAGAACAACCCTATAAAGAAAGCAAGGTATATATTATTTTCATTTTCAAAATGGAGAAACCAAAGCCCAGAAGTTTAAACAACCTTGGTTTTTGAATAATTAGAGTCAGGACTAGAACCCAGGTGTCCAGCTAGAAAGCCTAGTTTTCTTTATATTCAATTATGTTGCTATGTTGCAGGGGAAAAGATTAAGAGGTAAAAGTATAATCACCAATTTTCACTGAAAATGCTAAGGGTTAAGGGGTCAACATAGTGTCTTTTGACTCCTTTTCTCTCTAAAATAGCATCCATCATTATCCCTTTACCCTTTTCGTTTCTTCATAGAACTAACCAGTACCTGATTCAATATTTGTCTATTTGTTCATTGTCTGTTTCCCACACTAAAATGTAAATCCAAGAGGCAGGACTTTGTTCATGGCTGTATCCCCAGAGCCCAGGATAATGCCTGACGCTTAGCAGGCCCTCAACAAATATTTCTTGAATTATGGTCAAGTATCCAGTTAGTGGGATCATGATGTAGCAGAAAAAGCACTGCATAGGATATCAGGATTCTGGAGTTCTAGCCGTGGCTGTTTTTCTAACTAGCTGTGTGACAGGGGGCAAGTTTCTTAGAAAGTGAATTTCAGTTTCCTTGTCCATAAAATGACATGGTTTGACAATATGATCTCTAAGGGTCACTTTAAGCTTTAAAAATCTGTAGTATCATCCTGCTATTTTAAAGAGAATGAGAAGAAAGAGTTAATGAGGATGGATATAGATCCATCTCTGGGAGAAGGTATAACTGTTCTTGATCATCTGTGTTTTTGAATAATAAAAAAAGCATGAACTCTAATATTCTTCCACACAAATGTGTAAAAAAGTATACATATTTTGCATAGTTATAAAATATATAGGTAAATATTCAAATTATGCAGATTACACAAGTAGTTCTTTTATAGGTGAGGCTGCAAACAAGTTTAATGTATCAGCAACATTTGTTTTCCATCAGAATTATCCTGTATCTTCAGCAGCAGCAACATTATCATCACCAACATTTGTAGAGCACTTATTATATACCAAGCATTGCACTAGATTTTTTTCATGAGTTATTTCTTTTAATTCCAACAACAATCCTAGTACTACTATTATCCTCATTTTATAGGTGATAAAACTGAGGTTTTGGAAAAGTTAGGTAACTTGACCATAGTTATATAATGTATGTTTATTCTCAAAGCATTGGGTAGCAGGGGTGAGCTGTATAACACTTATGAATTAATGATCACAAATTCAATAAAGTGAGAGTATGGTTGGGGAATACAGAAGAGGATGGAAGAGGTATTTTACAATGTATTAAGAGAATCAGTACTTCGTGTCTTACAGAAAAAAAAGCAGAACTGTACACTAAAACATAAGTAATATTTTTCCCTTTCTTTCCTCCACCCATAGGAATATTGATCCAGTCTTCCTTACTTTTCCTATGTAATCTTACAATAAACTTCCATGACTAGAATATATCTGTTCCTGGCAACTAAAAAGAGCCTAATTAACTTGCTTATTATATTGAGATTATAAAAATTGCCATCCTGGGTTAGATGCAGTGTCTAGAATCCAGCATTTTGTTTCTGAAAGTAGCACGAAGCAGGCATGAAGCAGGCATGAAGCAGGCAACATATGAACATCCAGCATAGTGGAAACAGTGGGCCTAGGAAAGGAGGCTGCAGCTACTCAACTGCAGCAATTGTTGCCATGGGTCATGTGGGGTCCAGCATGGCCAGATCTGATCTTTTCCCAGAGAAGTCATAATTCCAGATTTTTATGTAAAATTTTCTGACTTTTAAATGTTGTTGATTACCTTACATATTTTTAAAAACACAGTACACATCTAACAAAACATCTCTGCAGGCTAGATTCAGTCTGTGAACCACCAGTGTGTGACCTCTGTCCCCAGAGCCTTGTTGTTAAAGACAAAATATCCTTATCTCCTCCCATCACAAATTATAGTTTATACCCCAAGAATTTCTCTCTCTTTCAAAGCTAAAGCATTTATGTTTTCTGTTGTCGCACCCTTAGGAAGTATTATATCTCATCAGTTCACTTATGGAAAGAAGGATTTCATTTTATTGTCTTCAGTCTATATCATTTATATTTCAGGAGGTGGCCACCATCTACTAGACCAGGATTTGGTGAGGTTGTCTGCTTTTATTTTCACAATCTTATGAATTTCTACCATATGCATTCTTGGCCTTCATTTATTTCTGACTGACGAATGCTATTTCACCTGTGGTAGATTAATTCAGTGTTCCACAAACATTTGCTGAATGCTAGGTGCTCTGAGGATACAAAAGGACAAAGACTTGGGACTTCCCTGGCAGTCCTGTGGTTAAGATTCTGTGCTTTCAATGCAGGGGGCACAGGTTCAATCCCTGGTCAGGGAACCTCAGCCAAAAAAAAAAAAAAAAAAAAGGACAAAGACTACAATTTAGTAGAATAAAAATACCAAAATATGGTGCTATAAGACTTTAGAGGTGGGAAAGACAGGAATTAACATGTATTGCTGGCCTGCCATATGCCAGCTTCTTCACACACATCATCTCAAGAGATAGGTATTATTTTCCTGATGATTATACTCATTTCACTTGTGAGTTTAGTGGGTTCCTCAGAATCATATAACTATTAAACAGCAGAGCCACAATCTGAACCTGGTCTTTCTGATTCTAAAATAGATGTCATATCTAATACCACATGATCTCCTATAGAGTGGTATTAATAACCCCAACCTAGAAGGATGAGGAAGTCCTCCTGGGGGAGATATGCTTTGAACTCTGCTCTGGCTAAGCTGGAGGCAGGGAGGAGAATAAGGTATTTCAGAAAGAGAACAGGATAAAATTACAGAGATAATATAAGGCAAGTAATTCAATAGGCTTGAGTAAAGTCAGTGTCAAACCCAAAAAAGTAGGTTGAGGCCTACTTCTGGAGGGTCTTGAATGTTGGGCTGAACCTGGACTTTTTAGCTATTTAAAATGTTTGAGAAGGAGTAGTAATATGCACAGAGATGTGCTTTGGGAAGATGAATCATATCAGTGGTATAGTCTAGAGCTGTGCTGCCCAGTACGGTAGCCACTGGCTACCTGTGGCTATTTAAATTAAATAAAATTAAAATTAAATGAGGGACTTCCCTGGCGGTCCAGTGGTTAAGACTCCACGCTTCACTGCAGGGGGCACAGGTTTGATCCCTGGTCAGGGAACTAAGATCCCACATGCCGCGTGGCACAGCCTAAAGATTATAAATAAATAAAATGAAAAATTCAGCTCCTTAGTCACACTAGCTACATTTCAAGTGCTCAACAGCCATGTGTGACAGGGGCTACTGTACTGGACAGGGCAAGTATAAAACATTTCCACCATCACAGAAAGTTCTATTGGACAGCACTGGAGAAAGGAGAGACTGAGGCAAAAAGACCAGTGGGAGCCCATTACTACCATGGTAGTCTAAGGGAGAGGCAATCAAGTCACAACTCATGGGACCACAGTCAGGATGGCTAGGAGGGGCAGGTAGAAAGCTGTCTTTAAAGGACTTATCATATGACTGGATAAAGGCAGCAAGGGAAAACACATAATTTCCTTATTGTTTTGTTTTTAGTAGTCATCTCTGAAATTTCTTCAGTTCCATTATGTCTTTCTTGACTTCACAGAAGCCCTACTGGCTTGTTTTTATGTACTAGCAGGACCCTTCCCTATAAGGTATGATGATCAGAAGCTGTTACTGACAAGTGGCAAACGTACTTTAACGTGGAAAAGATGATGCATTTCCGAAGAAAGTAATCCAAACTACACTGATGGGATAATGACCTTTCAGCTGAGACACAACACAAGCGGGAATCTCGGTTACTGACTCCTACAATTCCCTGATGCTTCCTGCCATCAGACAAAATATTTAGGTGGGTGGGCCATGGTCTGAACAACTTAAGGTTTTATTTTCATATTCTACAAATGTGACTTAGTTTGGGACATCTGGATTCACTACTAACTAATAGAAATTAATCTCTGTAGCCCACACTTGGTCCCACAAACAAAATCAGCATCATCTGGCAACTTGTTGAAAATGCAAATTCTCAGGCCCAACTAGCAAGACAAAATTAATCAGAAATTCTGAGGATGTGCCAGCAGTCTGTTTTAAGAAGCGCTCCAGATGATTCTGATACACAATGAAATATGAAGACCACTGTAAATACAGCTAATTATCTTTATTCAGTCATTCAGTGCTAGTTTTGGGCATACCGTTAACATGGGTACTTTTGACCTAGCTCTTTCCCCCATACTACCCCTATCCATCCAGCCATCGATTGATTCTTTTACATAATGTGTTGAAAGTACTTTAAAAGCCAAGAATAAAATATTTAAATACAGCCCAGTTTTCTGACTATTAACCCAACAGACGTGAAATCCTGAACCTTAGTTTAGTTTCAAGACTATCCTCTCATATGGTCATCTTTCATATGTTCTCTACAATCATGGGAAGGTAAAATTCACTTCCAGAATTTCAAAAAAAATATTTGTAATTCCATCATAAACAACAGCCCTTTGCCCATTATGCTTTTATTGTTATGCTTTTAAGGGGGAATGTATGTGGGAAAAGTAAAGGCACAAGCAAAGAGCATTGCTTTCAGTATCTTTCAGTCACTCGGTCTAGTGGCTGGGGATGGTGGGAACACACGGACAACTACCTTTAATGCGACCTGGTGAGAGTATTACCAAAGGGCTGTGCTGGAGAGAAACTCATTATTGGGGTGGGGATGTTGGAGAAGGCTTCGCAGAGGGGCACATACATAAACAGAACTTAACAGGGAAAGAAAGGGGCCAAGAGAGGTGGAAGTGGGGGCTCAGTCAGAAGGAACAAAATGAACAAAAGCA